ATAAAATGTGAACATTTCCTTTTTCAATCGATTCACCTTTTGTTGAATAAAACTGTACAATCAACTTTCCGGAAGAGGTTGGGCTGCAGCTGTTTAGACACTACCTGTGGGAACACAAATAGGTCGGGAAAGTCTGGTTGATGTGATGGGAGTGACCTGGACCACTGGATCATTCCAGCCCAATTGTGCACACGGTAATGATGTTTGAGAATCCGGGGATACACGGATCTCGAAACGGTCCACTCGAAGGATGCTGCTCGATAGGAGTCAAAGTTAGTGTACCAGCTAACTGGTTACAGAGTTCAAAGAATTCAGTATTCATTGTGAATAACCGTGCACTACTGTGCGATAGTTTGGACTGGTCTTTCGGTCACCAATCTGGCAGGTGAATAGAGATGAGAGAGCTTAAAGCTAAAAGCAATTAAATTCGATTAACGCATAGAAAGTGTGCCAATACACGAACGTGACACTCAGCCGGGTTAACCAGTCTCTACGTATAACCATTGATTCGGTTAGCCACGGGGCTATCAACCGGGATATCTCTTACGAACCGAGGGTTCTGATCATAACCTCATGCATCAGCAAGTATCGCACCCCAAGGAAGCCCATAAAGTAGCATGCGTATTCGATCTAACCTCGGCATAGCTTATTCAACTGTTCCACCCACCAGACTCGTGTAATGCGGCTTGGAAAGCACTACTTGAACACCGAAAACTTGTCGTTATACTTCTCTGGCAAAGGCCAAATTCTGGTGTCATAAAGCAGAACCGATTGGAGACTTGCGTTTAATCTTTGTGGTGGAACTGTGTCTCAAGTTATATAGCCTAAACAGCGTTCAGTTCATATGTTAGTAGAGAAAAATGAGCAACACACTTTACCAACCTCGATGGAATTCAAACAGATCGAACGGAGTCAACACTCTACCGGTTAACCTACAAAGTCACAAAAACAGACGGAACTAGTGCAGGGAAAGCGGATAGGATGGGAGAATGTGAAAAACCTAGTCTATTGCTTACTGAAATGAACTACGATTGTTTGGAGAGGATACACAATTATTGTGACAGAGCAACTTGTAAATTTCCTAATTTTGATTTATGCATCGTGTAAAAGTGGTGAACGAAAATATCGAGGTATTTGCGCACGTGCTTTTTGCTCAACCGGTAAAAAAATTAGTTATGAGTATGGAATGAAACAAATCCAGTAGGGAAAATGTAATGTCCTCATTATGGAATGTATGCATGCAATCATCTTGTACTACAAAATTGTGGAGGATGCACACATAATGATCAAACAATAAATTACAATAGTCGCACGATTTAATCCAATGGCATTTCACTCCTGATGACAATATGTAATCGATTTGTCCACGGCTGCTTTGATTCACTCGAATTCTCCCCCCTCCCCCCTCGGACGTCCAAGATTTACGTGTGCGTGTGCATGCATATCTTAGTGGTCACTATCAATCCGATCGGATTGGACAAGATCCATCGAGTACCGTTTTTACTCGTATGTGTGTGTGTGCGTACGCCTGATACAAATCCGATTGCGAAAGTGCATCCATGATTGTTTTATTGTGTTATGTGAACAACCTCGCGTACACTATAATCTGTCGGAACGGATTGCGGTGATATCCCAGTACGCAAACGTGCGTCAAAGGGAACGTTTGGGTACCATTAGATAAATCACATTGAAGGGTGACACAGATGTGAGTCACGCGGCCCTGGTGGAAGAGCAGCAAGTAGTACGGAAAAAGGTGATCCCTTGATTGGGCTGAAGGGTTACTATTTCCCAAGTACACTGGCGCCCTGTGTGTGTGTATGTGACATCTACTAGTCACGGTTCTGCTGTTGGATTTGCTTATTCAGGAAGCATACAAATTTTCCATGCGTATTTAAGACGGGTTGTTTCAGAATGCCACCGATCACTTTGATCCACGAAATTCGGGTCTACGACGAAGCAGTAGTGAATGAATATGGTTCATTTCAACCGCGGTGCAGTACTTACTCACTATCTTAAGTGGAAACAGAATACACTTAGATATTACCCCAACACATTAGAACCAGTGCAATCAAGAAGTCAAGTGAGGAAATTTGATGCCAGCTCAAAATCAAAACCCGTAGAGGTTGTACGTGTGAGACCGACAATGATCATACTTACGGGGCCAAAGAGCTTTGAGGGACAGAACCCTTGAGCATTTCCGGTTTTGTGTTCTGGCTTCGTGTATTCGCGGCCGGCGGGGTTGGTGTCATACCGGATAACCGACTATAGAAGAAGCAGTTGAACACGTATGTGCAAGCACGTTGTAAATCGGACAGTTGTTCAAAGTAGAGATATTTGAGGTAGAAATTGATGATGGCATCGTTGATCAGGGCACCGGGAGTAAGGCAATCTAAGTCGGCAGAAGTGAGGATCACACTGTCTGTTGAACCGGGAGGCTGATAGTCAAATTTGCTGATGTGTAAGCAGAGGGCGGCGGTAAAGTGTAAAATGAGAGGCGATATAAAGAACAGATCAAAACTACAGAAAATAAATTAAATGAGATTACAAATATTCAGGTGGCCATGTGGATAACTTATTACAGAGAAGACAATAAGAACTTATTGATGGAGGGAAAAGCATTGATATCATGTAGTGCTAGTGCTAGTAAGCCGGACAATCGCTCTACTCCGGTGCATGTCAAATGAGTTTGTGAGGAATCGAATGCGAGCTGACACAACAATGAACCAAACATATTATCTCGAAACCATTCAACAAGATATGATATTATAAATACTCATCACTGTCACCAGACACACATTAGACCAGTGGGCGTTCACTATGCATTTTCTATCACAAAATATTGTGCAATTAACAGCAGAAGGGATAAACCTATCGTCAAGAGGAACTGATGAAGTCAGAAGGTAAACCTCAGAACTTGGATTGGCGAACCATAAAGGCCAAACTAGGTTGTGCGTTGTAGTAGGACGACAGCAAAGTTCATTACGACTAAAGACGAGTAACAATAGACGAGTTCTAACCTCGGGCCCTAAGGACTAAAGTAAGCTGGTGACAGGGGCCTAAAAAGCTTGACCATTACCAGCCAGGAAAGTCTAAGTCGATGAGCACACTACTTGAATACTAGTAAGCGAAGCCATCACGACGAGACTGCACCTTAACGTGGCGTGATGGCTTGTGCACCTTCCTGGCCGAACAAGCCACACAGGATGACTTTTATCAAGCCAGGGGATCTTATCAAACCTGGAAGATCAGAGGGTAGAGGTCAGACAAAATTCAGTCTCCTGATTCCGGTCCTCCAGGTTGGGGGTTCAAATCGAGTTAGCGTCTCAGTCGCTAAAATGGTAGAGAAGTAATCGATCCAAATAAATGAGACTACTCCATACGCAGCCTTGCAGTCAGGTTCTTGTTAGAACAAAAGGCATTGGACGAGAACCCTAATCATTCTCCTGCTTGGTGGTTGCAGACCCTAGCAGTATCCGTCCATCAAACTCTAATACACATAAAAACTATAAATAACTCCGTACTGCGTCGGTCGCCGTGCAGGTCCGCGCTGCCCATTGCATCGAGCTCAGACATCTAAACTTTTGACTAACTCTTTGTCTTCCGTACCCAACCCTCCCCTTCTTCCAACCCGTAACATTCCCTCAGACAACTTCGTCATTTGCCAAAGTTCGTTGCCAAGTAGACCGATAAGTAGTTTAGGACAAAATTCCGAGCAGATTCTGAAGCCTTCAACGTGGGGACTCTGATGCAGTTGGGTCAACAAGCGTGTATGATGTGTACAATGGACTCTTTGGGGATTAATGTCTGCTGCGTATCGGAGACGTGAATCCAGGACCCTAGCACTATAAGCAATTTAAGCGCACCGGATTTATCTTGGAGGTACTTCCTCCGCACGTCAGGTGATGATGAGGCTTGTTCAGTAGGTCAGCGTGGCTTAGGCGTTGTACTCACCAATACAGCCGAAGCGTCACTAATCTATTGGATCCCAGTAAACAGTTGCTTACGTGCGATGCGGCTCCAGGGGTTTATCAGTGTCCGGAAGGGAAGCGACACCAAAAGGTGTTTGTTCATCATTTCAGTGTATGCACCGACCAACTGCAGTTTTGAGGCACAGAAAGACGAGTTTTATGAGAAACTCACCGAACTCATTTGGTTGAGCCAAAGCTCCCATATAGTTGTTTTCGCGGGTGATTTTAACGCGCAAGTTGGAAAATTGAGTGCATCGGAAGCTTGTCTAGGCGGTCATTGTGCGCTGTCCTGCCGGCGAACAGATAATGGCGATCGACTTTTCCAATTCTGCGCAGATCATCATCCGTTCCTGTCCAGTACCAACTTCCGACACAGATCTCAACGGACAGCAACGTGGCGCTTCAATTCAGCTGGCAAGCTAATTCAAACCAACCTCATGGCAGTAAGCTACCTTTGGTGTGACTCAGTGCAAAACTGTAGGTCCTCTTGGGCCACTTGCGTTGAATTTGATCACGCATTAGTTTTGATGCAGTTCACTCTTCAACTCACTGGTCGCAGAAAAACCTACCCAAACTCGATTGGCAGATCATCGTTTATCTGACCCAACCTTTCGTGCCAATTTTGAATCAGAACTAGGGCAAGAGCTAAACGCTCTGCGGAGTGTTAGTGTAGATGAACAATGGGATCAGATTAGCCGAGCAATGCACTCCGGAGCGAGGGTTGATTGTGGATCTGATGCGGTGGTCCGTCCGAAGCATTGGATGTCTGATCAGTCAGTAGCACTGATGGAGAAAAAGCGTCAAATCCCCACAGCCCGGGATCGAAGGAGGGTAGATCGCGTATGCAACGCAAGCTCACAAAAAGCCACAAAGGAGACCGTGAAAAATGGTGGACCACAATGACTAGTAAAATGGAAGTAGCAGCTGCATCAGGGAATAGTCAAAGACTGTTCCAACTGATGCGTAACACCGGGGGTCGGTGAACTCCAGTTAGTGAAACAATCTGCGACAAAAGTGGGCAACCTATTCATAATAGGGCACAACGGGTTTTGACCAGGTTGTATTGACAAAATCAAGTCCTGGAGCTACGCCAGATATACCGCCGATCAACGGTTGTCGTGTTCCTTGATCTAAAAGGAGCCATTGATTCAGTTGACCACGAATCCCTAATGGGTTCGCTCCTTCATAAAGGAATGACGCAGAAGTATGTGAACATACTGAAGTCACTCTACTCGCATACTTCTGGTAGCGTAAGTATCTACTGCGAGCTGAGTAGACCGTTTGTAATTAGCAGTGGTGCTTGTCAAGGATGCCCTATTCAACCGTTCCTGTACGATTTCGTCTTAGACGAAATAATGGAGAACGCTCTAAGTGGTCTCAAAATTGAATGGGCAGTTAGAGAAAAACTGTGCGATTTGGAGTACGCTGATGACATCGCCTGTCTGTCCGGTTGCATGGAGGATGCACAAAGCGTACCTGACGGACCAGCAAATTCTGCTGCACCGTCCGGTATGCGCTTTGCATCTTCAAAGTGCAAAGTGATGCTGCAAGACTGGGTGTCGCCGAGTTCCGCTCTGAAACTAGACGATCAGGAATAAGCTAAGGTTGGCTGTTTCTCATATTTGGGTAGCTGCGTGACCAAGGACGGTAGCGCAGTAAAGGAGATAACCGCCAGTAGTTCCAAGGTTCGAGTAGCGTACGCAGGAATTAAACACCTGTGGTGACGACGTGATGTTTCACTGAAGTTGAAAAATCGCGTATGTTGCTTCACTGCGCGATCAGTTCTGTTTTACGGTTGCGAGACCTTGAACTTGCGGGTAGAAGACATCCGGCACCTGGTGATTTTTGACAATCGATGCTTACGTAGTCTGGCCCAGGTGGGATGGAGTGAGCGGGTTAGTAACCTAGAAATAAGTCGTCGGATGTTTTGAATACATTGAACACGAACTCACTAGCGCATCGAATTCAGCTCAACTGGCTCCATTGGTTAGGAAACGGTTAGCGTATGTCTAACGGTCGCATACTGCACCGCGCCTTAATTGCAATGGGCGCTGCACACTGGAGAAAGCCACGTGGGGGTCAGAAAATGACGTGGAGACGAGGCATGAAGGAATGCACAGAATGATGAGGTAGCGTAGCTGTCTCTCGTCTTCCGAGTTGGGGTCCAAAAAACTCCGTAACTGGATGGAGACAATGCAGGTCATGGCAGCAAACTGGCTGCAGTGACGTTCTTGTTGTCACTTCGTATCAAACCAGAATGGTCGAAACCCTGTGTATGGACAATTAGAGTGCTTAATCTGTGAGTTGACCACGTAGGTTCACTTCCTTTCCCGATACCTAAAAACAGGCTCAATCTTCATCCTCTTTACACATCCTCACCTACCTTGTATGCATTATGAGCTTGGTTGCAATCAGCGAAGTTCGCGTCACTGTAATACGCTGTACAAGAATGAGCGATAGGATGTAGGACGTGTGAATCGCATCTCATATACTATTCGTTCGACCAGACATCGAGTCCCAATTGAATGTGACTTTTTCCACATCACGCTGCGCTGCCATGTGGATCCGGTTTTGGTTAGAGAAACATGGCAGTGTTGCACTCATAGGCAAACCATAAGTTGATTTAATTATCATAGAAACAACATGTGCCGGGATCTGTTTGGTACTAAATTGGAATTGGTCGCGGCGGTGGTCACCGGCTCATTGGACGTTTGACCCCGTCCAATGGATGTATGATCCAGTGAACTGGACACCGGCCCCCAATGGACTGCGGATTGAGTGCCGTCCAGTTGTCTTGCCGGTCTGGCTTTCTAGCCAAATAAGCATTATCCCCCTTCCTCGGCAACCGGGAAGTAACATGCCCAGACAATCCATGAACACATTCATCAAATTTCTTTCTTTTCATATGTTGTGGCACATTTGCCAGTTCTCTGTAACTGGTTACGTGTTGAATAAATAAATAATAATAATAATAAAAAAAATTGGAATTTCAAATAGAGTGCAAATGCAAAATACCACGAGAACCTAATTTGTTTCCTTGTTTCAATCCTTGTGGTTGCGATAACCGATGTGAACAGATGGTAAACAACTAAGTGCATAAAAAATAAAGTAAACCATGGAGATCAATGCACATGGTGTACCGCCTACATGCGCATACATAAATTCAAATAGCATAAATCGTGTCAACAAGTACACAGCTGTTATGTGCTGAACGAAATTGCTTCATTGTAAACTAGTGCATACTTGTTCGATGTTGACACCAAACGGATTTTAGTTCGAGAACCAAATAAAAAAATTTCTTCCACATGGATACCAGAGATTTCAGCGTTTGACAAGCAAAATCGGAACAACCCTCAATTGGAAAGTAACAATAATAAAGCAATCGATGAAAGAGTAAAGAAAATACTCACAAACCGGTATCACCACTGCCGACCGCATCGTCTTGGGAACTGGTAGTTGCGCTAGGATTTATGGAATCTGATCTATTTCCAATATTGTCCACATTCTCATTGTCCTCCTCGCATAAAATAATGAAGTCTTCGCCTGCATTTTCCTGGGGGGGAGGAGGGGCATAAAACACGGCAAAAAACGTTTACGATCCCCCAAATAGCTGGGGATTTGCCCCACTCACGAAAGAGGAGAGGATAACGAAGTTAGACTCGAAATTCACCGATGTCGCGTCTCTATAAAAGTACCAGTGGATAGATCACAAAACAAGTGATTAGAATCGGCTGGAAGTTCCACAATATCGTGACATGATTTTGCGGAGTGGAAAGGAATGACAGAAAGTTGAAGACAACACAATGCTCCAGAATAAAGCCAACTTTGACGATTAAGCTATTGTGTATCCACACGCGCACATGCCACGAACAAGGGTGGAATTAGGTGAAGTGATCTTAGGTTGAGAACATGTACGCATGCACCCTGCAAAGTATGGATACAGCGCGGGGACCCTGGAGCTTTGATGCACACTCAGCACCACCCAGATGATGAACAGCGTGGCTGATTCCTGTGAGGTTTGAGACCCCTTTTTCTGTATAGTCTATCCCAAATGCATGAGCGGTGTTATCTTTATCTCATTACTATGCGCTGCAGCACATATCTATAACCTGTGAAACGTTACTAAGTTTTAAATATAATAATAATGTAAACTTTGCGCTAAAATCTGTTTTACCGAAAACAATCAAGAGTGATATGAACCACAATCTCATTGTAGAGAAGTGTGAAGTCAGCAGAAAACATGCACAGAATCATCCATGAGAAGCGTGATATCACGGAGAGAGAGAAACACAAGAGCCGTATGTTTCTCATACAGCAGTGTAAGCTTATCGACTGACAGATAACTAGATGGGTGTGGGTTTCAGCTGATTTATTCAGCTGAACCTCAGCCTTAGTAGCTGGCTTCAGTAGTCCAAAGATGAAATAATGAGTGTAGAGGTAGCGGTTGTGAACATGAGGGGTTATGATGCGCCAGGGCGACCAGTATGGAACCACCAAAAATAAAGGAAACCAGTCGAAGATTTAAAAAAAACTGAAAATTTTAAAACTGCCGTTGGGCCTGTCTAAAAGCGCCACCTCACGTAGTTTCATTATTAGGCAGGAAACAAAGAATAAACAACAGATGGCGACATCAGAGAGTTGGTCGTATCCACTTGACCGGACCACGACTAGGCCATTCGAGGAAATAGGCACGTTTGGTGGTTTATTAGGTGTCGATAATAACGTTTAGAATTAAACTACTGATGATCCAGCAGTAGTATAGATAGGTATCAGACAATTTGGAGTCACGTGACAACCCACCAATGGATTTAGAGGACGGCTAAACCAATCACCGGTCGGTATCGGAACACGACGATAGCCAATCACCGTTTGGTTGTTGTCCAGGCACGGATAACAGCTGATTAGCTCATCTAGTCGTTCGGCGGAGAAGATTCAAAGTTGAATGTGAGCAAATTTCAGATATAGATTAAACCAAAAAAATGTAAGATTAATTTTTTTGCCCTTAGTGTTTATCACTATACTAACAAATTGAGAATACCGTAAAGGAACTGTGTAAGGATCACGAAAAAATAGGATAAAAACAATTAGAGTGGATATGTAGTGAAACGTGGTTTGATAGATTCAAGAGTTTGACCTATTTTTCTTCTCCATTTTGATCCGGAATGAACTAAAATCTAACGCACTGTGACTCGTTGCAATCTAGGAACCGCATTGTGAGTTTAATTAAATTCAAGAAAACGGGTTTCCTTTGCTTATTCAACTAATTTTAAGTTTTGTAAAGTACTACGTTCCAGGCAAAGAATAGGACTATCAAATCAGATTATCGGTCACTTCACATCAATAATATATATTTGAATATGCATGAAGCAAAAGTAACATTACATTATTGGTGTTTGTATTAACGTTTCCAAAGTGTCATTCAAAAGTATATTTACAACACTAGAAACATATTTTGTTAGAATGTCACGGAAAACTTCCGTACTTATAAACCGAAGTATGACACTACAAATTTATTACGATAAGGATAAGGCGTCATTTGAAATTCGGATTGGCGAAAACCCGAGACTTTTTGGTGATGATGAGATGGGTCCCATACAACATTATATTGCGATAGCAGTCCTTTTTGGTTATCGGGTAGTTAGTATGATTGTACTCACCGGCTCTTTTAGCACTATTCTATAGTTATTCCGCCGCTGTCCCTTTCCGTTTATGTGGAATAGATTCAGCACGTATGAAAACCATAAATGGCATGATATAAATGTCCTTTTGTGAATTATCTGTTTATTTATATTTACTTGCTGACCAACACCGATATGATGAATATATGTGAAGGGAACTGATTGAAGGCTGGAAAGCGACGAATGCGCAAGTAGTGTGAGACAATTACTGTAAACGAAATCGGAGCAGCTGTGTGTGAGAATTCGAAATTTACGCCGCTGTTCAGTGAAAAACTACGAAGCATGAAAATCGTATTTCCTTCCATGTAGCAATGATACTTAGATAGCTGCAATTACGCAAACATAAGAATCACACTATACGATACAGCAGTAAGTAAGCGTAACTACGGTATTTACTTTTTCATGACATTATAGTCCGACGTGTGTGGGAAAGGTATTTTTCGACTAGAAAAAAGTGGCAGAAGCTACTGACCTGATTGTCGGTGACTTTTGGATTGGGTACCTGGTTGGCGAGTGGTGCAGTGGAATTTCCCACATTTCCGAGAATATGCATTCCAGCTGAGGATAAGGTACTGATCACATTGTTTAGTAAACCACCATCTGATTTCGGACGTGACTCATCACTTTGATTGGCGGGAGGTTTTGCGATTGGTTTGCTAGTCGTGGGTAAATCGATTCGGATATTGGACGGCTGGTTGCTCGCTGTATCTGCAGCCTGGGCGCGTGCTTCTGCGCGAGGAAGACGAAGGCCACAATCTAGTAGGAGACTTCTTGTTTCCATCCAGGTACAATCCATTTTGCAAAAACCGTCATTGGCACGAATTGAGGATCCGATAAGTTCCATTTGTTGGACGAGTATATTCTTTTCTGGAGAGTGCGTCATACGATCGCCCAATACTAAGATGATCCATTTCATTGTAACTGTCAAAAGAAAGTAACGGCAGCACTGTAATTTTACTAGCCCAACTTACTATCTTTAATTGGCAGACAATTAAAACCCGGGATTTTGGGAGTTAATTTAACGTGAAACAAAAAAGTTTAGTTTTTTTTAACCATCTAGATAGAGAATACTCCATTTGCACTATTATTTATTATTTTCAAGTACAAGTTTGAAGAAAAACCCAAGTGCAACAATTAATTTCACAGAATGCTACCATTACCACAAAGAATACGCATTTCAAGACCAACAACGGTTCTTAACCACTATTTCTCAAACCAGCACATCAAAAATTAGGCTATAGGGCTTTCAAATATTGATTATTTTCAAGGGAGAGAAAGCTCCATTTCCGAAAAATGACTTCAAGATTCATTTCATCGGCATGCTTGTGTTCTGCCCATGAGGTCCCGGGTTTGATCCCTAGTTGGGTCGATGAATTCGCACCGCTGAGATCCAACCAGGTTGAAACAGCTGTCCAGTGTTTTCTAGCTTTTCAGTTTGTGCTTCATTTGACATATACACGACGAATTTCCCCTTTGAAATGGAACCAAATCCTCCGTTACTCACATGAAATTTCAGGTTAGTTCACTTACTGCTTGAGCGAAATTTTCCACTTTCTCTCTTGATTATTACATACCCAAGAGTCATGAACAAAAGACATACATTCTACAACAACATGGACCTATGATTTGGTCATCAGAAGGGGGAAACTAAGATCTGGGATTAAAAGTGGCGAACCACTGTGGATGTTAATAAGGTAAGCATCTTAAACTTTGAAAAGCGATTCAATCTGACTGTGCTATGGTAAAGGTTATCCAAATTTAGTAGGCAAGATATACAGGGGAACTTGGTAAAGAACAATGAATCTCAGCTCTTAGGTTTTCCAACTGATGACTTAGCCATAGGGCCGTGCGGTTATGCAGTTCGTCTGTGAAGCAAACGAATCACCTATTCACAATCAACAGCAAACGGTAGAGGATACTCGATTGCTTGGCTATAGTAACCGAAATGTTGCATGATGCTCCCGGTGACGCCAACGCTGCCCAATCCTGGGTGGTGTAAGAACAGCGCTAAGCACACTCTTCAGGAGTTTTCCATAGGTGCGTTGCTACTTTGGGTGAAATTTATAACCCTCCAGTAACTCCATCAGTTTTATTAGTAAAACATTTTCATGAGTAAATAGCAGATTACAGACGCGGATTTTGCCCTGAATGTCCATTCTGTTTTGGGATTCATTGTGCCCTAAAGTGGGCGCTTAGGAATTTGACGTCCTGTTCAGTAGTTGTGCATTCACGACCATCTTGACGACGAATCCATGGGTCATTATGAGTGATGCATCGGATGACATTCCCCTTACTCTCGAACCGTCCAAGAGGAGCCGTATTCTTATCAAAACCCAACTATATGTAAACGCTGAAGCCACTGGAGATTAAGCTTCTGTGCTGTGCTTAAATCCATGGCCGCACATAGTTCTGGTCACGAGCAGTTTAAAGAGGATTTGTGAAAGCGTGTTGCCAATGAGTGCGGCTGAGAGAAGCTAACTGTGCACTGACCGAATTGCGTGAGTCACGACTGAAATGAGTCCGTGTACCCGGCAACGAGTACGCACACGAACTATTGTGATGTGATTACAGTTTGCTCCAATCGCTTAAGCCTGTATTATATCATTACGTTTCACGCGTGTCTAAGTCCAGACTGTGAGCCAATTGAATCACGGTGCAATAATCTTCATAACATGATTTGCTAACGGACGGAATACTACCAGGTTAAATAGGCAAAAGCAAGTGAATCTTCTTGAGGGTTCAGACCGGAGACATTGACTAGGTAAAGCCTAACCCACAAGGCAGAGGGCGGTATGAAAATTGCAATACATTGGGGGGGGGGAGCGTTTTGAATTGTATCGGACCATACGCCCTGTGGACGGATTCAAACAGTCAAGGTGTCAAATACACCTCGATACCAGATCTAACCAGTGACCACTGTCAAAACCGAAAAGGTACGGTTCAAATTTATCCTCTTGGTTGGTTTGGAAGCAGGGTTTTCAGCCAACTATCCTTGGTAAATTGTCGGCGATTCACCGACCGGGTTGTATCCCTGTATTTTGGCGTTTCGTCCTCTCAGAAGTCCGCCGCGAGTCGATAGTAGTGTGGAAGAGAAAATAGAGAATTTCAAGAGACTACTATTGCACAGAAATAGAGAAGATACACGAACGCCACTGTCTACGACACCGCCATATCACTGAGTGTCTTCAACCATCGGTTCCGATCATCCCGAGGTACCCATCCAGGGAGCCTAATGGGACATATGTGACCGAGTATCCTGGTTAGGGTTTTTATACCCTCGTGCCAGGTCCTAGCTTAAATACCCTTGACTTTATTCCAACCCCTACCTGCCTCGGCAAACAGTGTGCTGTGGTAATCCAGTTGGTGACATGCGTAACACGCCCCAAAAACGTAATCTATGGAGGTCGATCACTTGCTCCGGTGAACGACCGCGGTTGCCCAAAACTCTGCGTCTAACCTCGGCATTGCTCGTCCGGCTGTCCCATCAGATTCGTGCAATGCTAGGTAGACAGCGGTGTTTAAACACCGACTGTTTATCTTTATCCTGTTTTCTTAATGGTCAAGTTTCTGAGCCGTATGAGGCGTACGAACCACACACAAATAGCCGTTACCGAACCAATACAAATACAGACTGAGTGTTCGAACACCGCTGTCTGCGCGGCATTGCACGGGTTCAGTAGGATAAGCCGAAAAGAAATGCTCAGGTTAGGCGCGGGGTTTAAAGCATACTCGGCCGCACACCGATGTATTTGTACAACATGCGTAAGCTTATATGTTTGCATTTCAGTTAAAATGTACACTGGTTGTCACACCGAATAAAGTAGACCATTTTATGTAACGCGCAAAGTGAAGTTTGTATCATGTTCAGAAATTGCAAAGTGAATCACTGGCGTAGTGTTCCTCATTTGTTGGGAGTCGGGTCGGGGAAGGTACAGGGGAATTCCTATAAACGTTAATAAGGGGGTAGATGCTGAAAAGAGGAGCGTGTGAAAGGACGTAAAGGACAAGAGAATAGATCAGGAAGACGCTGATAAGGCTCGTCTGGAACCTTATTGGCGAATTTAATACATGTGCTGATGTAACCGCTAATGAGCTGGTGATTGATGAATCAAATGTGATTATTAATGCATAACTCATTATCACTAAACCTGGATAAATGGCTTTGAAGTCTTATTGTGAATGTTATGGTGATAATAACAGCGATGTCGGTAGAGAATTACATTCGCCGACGTTTCGGTTACCGTGGGTAACCTTTCTCAAGGCAGGTTTTACAGTCAAATGACTCAGAGGAAAGGATCACACGTTAACAGATATTTCATCGTGTTTATGTTTATCTGTGTGTATGTGTGTGGTGGTGGACTGAATGATCCGTCGTCCGTCATACTAACTCCCATTATCAGATGGGGTCAAGTGGCACCGTGATCTTTGTCGTGATTGCGCGTTAGGGATGTTAGGGTAGTCCAAATGAAATCTGGTTTGAAAAGGACAGGAAACACTATAGGGGAGAAATATAGTAAAATGGGGAGAACGTATTGGAGGAAAGATCTGATTGTGGGGTTCCACAGCTGAAAAGAGGCCTTCATAAACCTCAGAATGGTCGGGGGGAGGTGTCTCGGGCTACGGTTGGTCACTCTTCTATTACACCGCGCGAAATGCCCCGCATAAGACCAAGCATCTCAAACAGCTTCTGCTGAAGAAGTCCCACTCACTGCCTTCTAGCGGCAGGTGTTTTCCCACCAAAGTGAGAGGACGAAAAGCCAATATCCGGCGCTGTAACCGGGTCGATGAACCACTGGCACTTCACCTAGGGGAGTTCACTAAAAACCCTGATTCTAAACCAACCAAGAGGCGTAGGAACCGCGCATACAGCTTCCTGGTCATGGCAGTGGTCACCGCCTTAATTGAGTATAGAGGTGTATTGTGCACCATGGACGTTCGACCCCATCCAATGGGCGTATGATCCAATGAACTGGACACCGAGTTCCAATGGATTGCGGTTTTCACACCCCGTCCCGCTGCCTTGCGGGTCAGGCTCTGGCTGGCCGAAGGCTCTGGTTGTGAATTCCCTAAGAAAATTCACCTGTCTTAGCCTGGGCAACCTGGCAGTATCGCGCCCACAAGCAAATCATGGACTTTACTTCTTTGCATAAAGAATAGTTTGGCATAGTCCAAAGACAAATTTGTATGAATAAATAAACAAATAGCTGAACAGAGAGACGTCTTAGTTTCCCTATACGTTTATAGACGCGTTTCATTCGTTTTGATAGTTTCCTCTAAGTAATGCGTTCATCGGGGTATGCAGAATTTGGAATAAGTCAGGGTAGCCCGAAAAGCCGTTGCATGAGTGAAATAATAAAGGTGTGAAGCGCACTGAAACTGATTTACTTCTCCCATAGTCTCGAGACGGGAGGCTAAAAACGGGTAGCCCCGGATATTTCGCATTAGCCAAACATCGTTTTGCGATTATCAGTCAAGTTATTGATAACTTTCAGATTATATCATTCACATGAATGTTGTGAAGTGAAATGTTGGTAGCTAGACGGATTATTAATAGTGGTTCCTACCACTCCGCAGAAAATTACTCTCATAAGGTGACACAACAGAGCTTCCACAAAGGGCTCGGAATAGATAAATCTCATACTAACAGAGACAGTATGCTTTTTTCTGCATGAACCAGGAAAGCGTTGCACTAAAGCAACTATTATTTTCGAAAAAGTGCATTCACTGAATAGGTGTAACAAAATGGAACACCACGTGAAACAGAAACAAAATTAAATTACCTGCACTATAATTGCTTGAGCTGCATAGCTTTAGGCTAGATGCCAAGCTTTCTTTCAAGTGGTCTCGGGGTTTGAGGAAGACAACTTGGAGCTCTTCGCAAAAGACAAGTGACTGAACATCTGCAGGTTGAATGGT